CAACGTCTCAGAGATCAGATCTTAAAGGTGACATCAGCCACACCCCTGAAAATCGGAGATCAGAAGAACTTTAAAAGATGTTCCATTTGAAATAAGAATGAAAAGAAAAGAATATAAAGGACTGACCAGATTTCTACAAAACCATCAAACAAATTACAAATGGCTGCTGCCCGAAGGACTGACTTTCAAGTTTAATGAAAAGAGAGAAAAGATTGACTCTATCTTTAAGGCTCAAGACTTTTTAGAAAGGCACGCCAGCAAAGAAGAAGAAGCAGAACTGGCCAAGTGGATGACAGAACTGAATGTAGAAGACAGCAGCTCGGAGGGAGAGCTGAAGGACGAGGAACCCAAAGGAGCGACCGCTCCGAAGTACAACTTAAGAGACAAGAGAAGCAAAGACCCCAGACCCTAGAAACTTTTCTACTTTTTGGATTACACTTTGAAAAAGAAATTAACTCCCAGAAGGACACTACTAACATATTAATTGCCTGGTGAACAGAGATGGAAGAAGAGAAGAACGCCGGTCTACAGAAGCAATGACTGACTCTAATTCTTAATATGAAAAGATTAATATACTAATATACTAACACCACTCACTCTTTACTTTATCCATCTATATACCCTCCCCCTTTCTTGACTTTAAGCGAAATATCTCTCCTCTTTAGGAGAGGGAATAAAGCTATTAATTTAAAAAAAATGGCCACCAGGAACAGAGTAACTGCGAGGTGCACATTCGCCATCAAGGAAAAGCCTAGAAGCAAATAATTGGGAAAACCCAACTGGTTTTATGGGTGAAGGCCTCAGATTGGCTCCAGGCCTGTTGAGCCAATCAAAACTCTTAGAAATGACGTGACTTTCTGTTGCTGGACACATGATCTATGGCATGACTTGACCAGAGGGAAGAAATGAAACTTGACTGCAGATTAGGCACAGGTGAAGTCCATATACGTCAATTGCCTGGAATATGTTAGTCGGAGCAAGGCACGTCCTTCAGCACAGTTGTGTCTTATCTCGCTTAGCAAGGTCAGCTGGCTCTGTGTCTCTAACGGTCTCTGGGAACACCCTCTAGGCCACATTTGCAGCCTGAACCAAAGATTTTTACAAAGACCAGAGCTTTCAAGGAACCATTTTCTTTACACCACATTTTTGATATTAATCACCAGCAGCCTGGTTCTCTTTTGGTTCAAGGTAAGCCTGTTTCTTTTGTATGGTTTGGCTTGCCCCAGAAGGTTCCCCAGGGGTCATTTCGGGGGGGGGGAACGCGGGAGATCGCAGTTCCCCCGGGTGAGGTGTGGGGGCAGGGCACACGCCGAAGCCCCACCCCCTGCTTCCGGCTGCCCCGCTTCCGGCCCTCATTCAGCCAGGAGGAGGCAGGAGAAGAGGGAGGGTAAGTTGCTTCCTCCCCGCCTCTCCCCACCCTTGCCTGCCTGGGGCCAGGGAGGGCCTTGGCGGGGCTTCCTCACACTCCTGCCGGCCTTGCAGGTCCACCGCCGGGCCTTATGATGTCAGGGGGTGTGAGTGAGTATCCTTTATGATTACGTCAAAGGAATGAGCAAGGAATAGGCACGGAGGATTTCTGCCTCACTTCTTAGGAGTTTGGTTGAATAAGGAATCCCACTGGGAAAGGAGGGAGGTTTTCTGGGGCCTGAAATCTGGGGGATTTAGAAGTTTCTTCTGGGGCTGAGCTCAGCTGTGTCTCTTGAGGGGCTGAGGGATCATTAAATACTGGATATTACAGAAAAAGTTGGTTGGTTGGTTAAGAACAGCCAAGGGGGAAGAGGCCAAAGTCCAGTGAACACTTTCTACTGCCTTCACCTGGATGCCTTCAGGTTTAGTGCCAGTCTGGTGTAGTGGTTAAGTGCACGGACTCTAATCTGGGAGAACCGGGTTTGATTCCCCACTCCGCCACTTGCACCTGGCTGGATGACCTGGGGCAAGCTCTTGAAAAAGAGCAGTTTCTGTCAGAGCTCTCTCAGCCCCACCTGCCTCACAGGGTGTCTATTGTGGGGAGGGAAAGGGAAAGGAGTCTGTAAGCCGCTCTGAGACACATTTGAGTAGTGAAAGGCGGGGTACAAATCCAATCTCTTCTTCTTCTTCAAGGGCAGTTCTCGAGAGAGCTCTCTCAGCCCCACCTACCTCACAGGGTGTCTGTTGTGGGGAGTGGAAGGGAAACGAGTCTGTAAGCCTAATCTGGGAGAACCGGGTTTGATTCTCCGCTCCGCCACTTGCACCTGGCTGGATGACCTGGGGCAAGCTCTTGAAAAAGAGCAGTTTCTGTCAGAGCTCTCTCAGCCCCACCTGCCTCACAGGGTGTCTGTTGTGGGGAGGGGAAGGGAAAGGAGTCTGTAAGCCGCTCTGAGACACCTTTGGGTAGTGAAGGGTGGGGTATAAATCCAATCTTCTTCTTCTTCTACCTCACAGGGTGTCTGTTGTGGGGAGGGGAAGGGAAAGGAGTCTGTAAGCCGCTCTGAGACACCTTTGGGTAGTGAAGGGCGGGGTATAAATCCAATCTCCTCTTCTTCTTCTACCTCACAGGGTGTCTGTTGTGGGGAGGGGAAGGGAAAGGAGTTTGTAAGCCACTCTGAGATACCTTTAGATAGTGAAGGGCAGGGTATAAATCCAATCTCTTCTTCTTATCAGCACCCGCCCCAAAATTGGCACATCTTCCAAAAACCACTTGGGGGGGGGGCTTGAAGTGAGGAGTTTGCTTTTTTAGATCTTGGCTTCCCCCCCCCCCAGCAAACAAGCATTTTTGGGAGGCTGAAAACCAGCCCCTCCTGGCTCTTGTCACAACTGGAAGGAAACTCTCAGTGCAGTTGCACGACTGGATGTCATGATAACTACTTCTATTGAATTCTCAAGGGCAAAGAATCAAAAGAGCTGTGAGGAAAGTCAGACGTAAACAGTGGGGGAATCATTCCTTGCCGCTTTTCCCCTCAGAGTACCTCCCGGCCACACTTGAGACAATATGCGAACTCGAGGCCCCATGCGCGTCTTCTGGTCCCATTCTGGATTGTTTCAGCCCTCTCAGCCTAGAGAAAGTTGACAGATTGATCTCAACGGTACGGCCAACCACATGCAGCCTTGATCCGTGCCCCTCCTGGCTGATTAAAGCTGGCCGCTTGGGTTACGAAGCACCCTTAGGAACATTATCAACAGGTCCCTCTTGGAGGGCCTTTTCCCAGGGGCTCTCAAGGAAGCGATGGTCTGCCCTCTCCTAAAAAAACCATCCTTGGACCCGGCCGAATTGGCCAAGTATCGGCTGGTCTCCAGTCTGCCCTATTTGGGCAAATTAATAGAGAGGGCAGTTGCGATACAGTTGCAGAGCTTTCTGGATGACACTTCCACACTGGATCCCTTCCAGTCCAGCTTCCGCCCTGGTCATGGGACGGAGACAGCACTGGTCGCCCTCATGGATGACCTCCAAAGGCATCTGGATAGGGGCGGGACGGCTGTGCTGCTGTTGTTAGACCTGTTGGCGGTGTTCAACATGGTCGACCATCAGCTCCTCGCCCACTGCCTTGCCGACGTGGGGATTTGGGGGTGACCTTGCAATGGCTTGTCTCCTTTCTCCAAGGTCGGGGACAAAGGGTGGCGCTTGGGGAGGAGATGTTCCGAAGGCACCCACTAGTTTGTGGAATTCCCCAAGGGGCAGTGCTCTCCCCAATGTTATTTAACATCTACATGTGCTCCCTTGCCTAGATTGCCGGGTTTGATTCCCCAATTCTCCACTTGCACCTGCTGATGTGACCTTGGGTCAGTCACAAGCTCTGGCACAGCTGTTCCTGAAAGAGCAGTTTGTGTCAGAGCTCTCTTAGCCCCACCCACCTCGCAGGGTGTATGTTGTGGGGAGGGGAAGGGAAAGGAGTTTGTAAGCCGCTCTGAGACATATTTGGGTAGTGAAGGGCGGGGTATAAATCCAATCTCCTCCTCCTCCTCCTGCTCCTGCTCCTGCCTGCTACCCAGTTGCTCTTTGCCAAAATCTGAAACCCCAGTTCTTAGCATCCGTGTGAAAACATACTTCAGCTGACCCTAGACCCTGAATTCTTCGATGGAATTCCTCCTCAGGTTATGCTTAACACAGCTAAGACCAGGAGTCTCTCCCTTTATTCAAAAGGTGAACCTGTCTGACAGACTTTTTAGTCATACTCTTCAGATATCCACTCCTTTAGCTGAGCTTTTACTTTACTGAACAGTAACTGCCACTGAACTCAAAATGAACTCCCTCTCCCCTCAGCACACAGCTGATTTTATATTTCCCTCAGCTGGCCCTGGCCAATCAGAAAAAAGGAGCAGCCTGTCACTCAAGCTCAACATTTTAGAGCAGAGTTAACTTGTTATGTACGCAGACCGCCACCAGGGATCCGCGGCTATAGTCGGGAGCATTAACCAATAGCAACTTTGGCGGGAAATTCAGACCCTCCAATGGGACTGTGGGTGTGCTGGATGGGTGTGTATATAGTTGCTTGCAGGGCCATTTTGCAGTTCCTGTGTGAAGTACAATAAACGTGTGTGAATGCATGTCATTGTCCGAGTCCTCCATGCAGCAAACCCAGTACTTTACATAACTATTCACCTCCCTCCTCTGATTTTGCTGCATTAGGAAAACAACATTTTAAATGTAGTCTGTCACAGAAGCCACTAAAACATTCAGAGAGTAGATGTAAATTCAGTGGCAGATCAGACTTCCTTGTGTGGGTTTAAATGGGATCTCTCTCTTTTTTTCTGACAGGGAATGGCCAGAGGAACGAGGAAGATGAGGAATTTCATCACCTATTGCCAAAAGTAGTCGAGCATGAAGACTTGAGAGGAAACTTCAGGAATCAAGGCAGACATAAGAGGCAAAAAAGAAGCCACATGATCAAGAAGGGGGATAAAAGCATTCCTTCCCAAGGGGAGAATTTCTTTAATGTAATTACATGGTGGAGTGGCCATCTTCAAAATCATAAAAGAACCCACACGGGGGAGAAACATTTTGAATGCACAGAGAGTGGAAAGAGATTCAGTCAGAGTGGCACGCTTCAACTGCATCAAAGAACCCACACAGGGGAGAAACCTTTTGAATGCTCAGAGTGTGGAAAGAGATTCAGTGAAAGTGGCACTCTTCAATATCATCAAAGAACCCACACAGGGGAAAAACCTTTTGAATGCTCAGAATGTGGAAAGAGATTTAGTCACAGTGGCCATCTTAAAGAGCATCAGAGAACGCACACAGGGGAGAAACCTTTTGAATGTGCAGTGTGTGGAAAGAAATTCCGTTGGAGTGGCACTCTTCAACTGCACCAAAGAACCCACACAGGGGAAAAACCTTTTGAATGCTCAGAATGTGGAAAGAGATTTAGTCACAGTGGCCATCTTAAAGAGCATCATAGAACGCACACAGGGGAGAAACCTTTTGAATGTGCAGCGTGTGGAAAGAAATTCTGTTGGAGTGGCACTCTTCAACTGCACCAAAGAACCCACACAGGGGAAAAACCTTTTGAATGCTCAGAATGTGGAAAGAGATTTAGTCACAGTGGCAATCTTAAAGACCATCAGAGAACGCACACAGGGGAGAAACCTTTTGAATGCTCAGACTGTGGAAAGAGATTCAGTCTGAGTGACACTCTTCAAAAGCATCATAGAACCCACACAGGGGAGAAACCTTTTGAATGCTCAGAATGTGGAAAGAGATTCAGTCAGAATGGCCATCTTCAGCAGCATAAAAGAACCCACACAGGGGAGAAACCTTTTGAATGCTCAGACTGTGGAAAGAGATTTAGTCACCGTGGCAATCTTCATAATCATAAAAGAACGCACACAGGGGAGAAACCTTTTGTATGCTCAGAGTGTGGAAAGAGATTCAGTCACAGCGGCAATCTTCTACTGCATCAAAGAATCCACACAATGGAGAAACCTTTTGAATGTTCAGACTGTGGAATGAGATTCACGTTGAACGACACTCTTCAAAGGCATCAAAGAACCCACTGGGGGGAGAAACCTTTTGAATGCTCAGAGTTTGAAAAGAGATTCAGTCATTGTAGAAATCTTCAACCGAATCACAGAACTCACACAGGTGAGAAACATTTTGAATAATCAGAGTGTGGGAAGAAATTCAGTCAGAGTGTCACTCCTCAAAAGCATCAAGCAACCCACCCAGGAGAGAAACTTTGTGAGTGCTCAGAGTGTGGAAAGAAGTTCAGTCATTGTAGCCATCTTCAACTGAATCACAGAACCCACACAGGGGAGAAACCTTTTGGATGCTTAGAGTGTAGATAGAGTTTGAATCAGAGTAGCCATCTTCAACTGCATCAGAGAACCCACATGGGGGGAAACCTTTTGAATGCTCAGAGTGTGGAAATAGATTCAGACATAGTGGCAGACTTCAATATCATCAAAGAGCACACACAGGGAGAAACCTTTTGAATGCTCAGAGTGTGCCAATTGAGGCTCTTCATCTCCCCAAGCCCTGCCCTCTCCAAAGCTCAACCCCCAAATCTCCAGAAATTTGTCAATGTGTGACTGGCAATGCTAGGAAGGCGTGGATCTGATGAGACCTCCCTCAAAGGCCAAAACACCTCTGAAAAGCTTTTTGGTTATTGTGAGAATGCTTCCGAGTTCTTTTTGTGTGTGTAGGAGTGGTTTAGAAGCCTCCCATTTATAGAAGAAAACTCTAATAAAGAGAGGAGCAGCATCAATCCCTAGGTTTCAACATCTGGATGTGGGTTCCTTCCCTAACCATGTTTCAGGCATGTTTTGAGAGTTGCAGCTGCTTCAGTGGCTGTGAAGGGAGATCAGTTCTAGGAAAGAGGGGGTGGAGAGTATCCCTGCTGACTCTCCATTAATACCATAGATGGTGATAGCCTTCTCTGCCAAGCAGGCAAGATGGTAATTAGGGGCATCATCCTCTAGTGGTTCCGGTCCTGTCTCGCTGATTCATCCCCAGACTGGGCCTTGGGGTCCCCCGCTTGCCATGTGCCACAGGGTCCCAGAATTCTGTCTCTTGTGTTCCATGCTTTTGGATTCTAGAGGATTCCGGGGGTTTTTAAGTCTCAGAGGTATATCTGGTAGAATCTGCGTTGCATGGACACCCCTGGCTAATATCATTAAAAAGACAATTTATAAACATTGTAATGTGGTTGCAGATATTCCAGGTTGTAACAAATTACCATTTATAAGTTTAAAAAGAAGAAATTGTACAAGGGATCTGATTATTAGATCTGATATTTCAACTAAAGCAAGAACAGGAGTAGGGGCTTGTGGACACTTTAAATGTGGAAAATATTCCGTCTGCTCCTTGGCTTAATGAAATAAAGTCATTTACTGATCCACAAACAAATTATAAGATAGACTTACCTCACTTTTCTAGTTGTAACTCTTCTAAACTTGTGTATGTTATGTCCATGTAAATTATTATATTATGGATACAGCATGCGTTCTATATGCACACACATTATTGAGCACAAATCACGGATTAGAAATAAGATTGAAGATGCGCCATTACTAATACATTTTATGGCAAAGAACCATGCGATTGAAGATAGGCATTTTTTTGGCATTGTACAGGTTTACTTCACATCCATACAATAGAGGAGATGTGCAGACAACACTTATGAGACAGGAAGCCTTCTGGATATTTAGGTAAAAAACTTATACACCACATGGGTTAAACTAGAATATGGAGTTCTCTTGTTTTGTAAAGGTACAGTATGAAGACTACTATAGAGGTAGAGTAGGAAGACACTTTCCCTTTAAAATACTGGTACTTAGCACCTGCAGGCAATGCAGCACAAAAATGTTAAAAACAGTCGGTGCAGACAAACGAGTTGAGAGGACTTTTGCCAGCATAAAAAAGACAAAAGTGTTATTCTCAAAAGAAAATTGATTGGTGTCCTCCATGTTTGTTTGATGGTGAATTGACTTTAAAAGCAGGTTTTCTGGATGTAACATGATTAATGGGAGTATAAAGTCTGGAACCTGATGCATGGTTAATTCTTGACAGTAAATCAGAGATTATGGCTAGTGACAACCCAGTGAATTATGATTAATTCTTCCCTGAAGAAATGCACAAAATCAGGCAGGCACTGGGACCTCATCAAACTGTATGGAGGAAGGTCAAATTTAGGTTGCTTAGATAATTTACAATTCAGTTGTCAATACAAGACTGTATACCTCTAGGGAAAGAGATCTTTTGTGCGATTCAAATTGGAGCTATTCTAAGCAAACTTCATGATGAGTACTTGTAACTTTGATCTGGAAAATGGAACAGTGTGAATGTAATAGATCAGTAAGGTTGTAAAAGTTTGGTGAATGTATTAAATTGTATTACATCATATTATGAATTATTAATGATGTAATTATTAATCATTATGAATGCATTAAATTGTGTATTACATCATATTATGAAGAAATGTAAACAAATGTTTATAGCGTAAGATGTGAAATAATACAATGGATAGTGTTTTTAGTAAAAATTCATTAAAATGTTTGAATATTATAACAGTAAAGGAGCCTAAGCTACAGCATTGTTTCTCAAGGTAGGTTATAGTAGATGCATGAAGGTGTTCAAATCTATATTATCTTTCTTTTTATTATTGATTTGTAGTCAATTTTAACCTGGATCGTAATAGTGGTTTTAATTCTTTATCAGTATGTTCTCAATTTTGTAATGGTTAATGGCTTTATACAATAAATCTATCTATCTAGTAATGCTGTGTACCTATATTGTGTGTGGATCTAGAGAGAGGTAGGTGGGGCTGAGAGAGAGCTGAGAGAACTGTGACTGGCTCAAGGCCACCCAACGGCTTCGTGTGGAGAAGTGAGGAACTAAACCAATTTCTCCAGATGAGAGTCTGCTGCTCTTAACCACTACACCACCCAGTGCTCCCAGTGCACATGGTCAGGATGTGTTGTGGCTGCCTCTAATGTAACTTCATATAAATGGCCAACATTCATATAATAGGTCTGAGCCTGCCAGTGCAATGAGGAGGTGGGACTCTCAAGCTAGGCAGCGAGGGAGGTCAGGGGCAGACTTGGAGCAAGAATTCCAGCTATTCTTTTAGCCGCTGCCCCTGCTGCAGGGATATTTTGATGAACAATATCAGGAGGAAATAGCATTTATGTATCATATTGAAAACTTACAGGGATTCTCAAAATGTAAAATCTAAAAGAAAAACATGAGACTTTTTGCTCAACCACAAACCACTAGGAAAAGTGGAATAGGTCAAGGTGACAGTAGATTGTAAACCCCTTTCAGTTCTGGGAACAGCTGGACTTGGCAGGCCTTGCCCAACAAGGCCGGAATCTGCATGAAGGAGAACAGAGGGGAGGAGGCTGCCCTTTTGTTAGAAGAAGGACAATTAAAAAAAAATACATGAGTAAGGGGGGGAATCCCTTTGTCCAAAAAAATAATAATAATCAGTTGGGGTAAAAGAATAAAACGGAAACTGGTAACATGGATTTTCCAAATGTGTATAAAAGCAAAATCGACTTGGGTGTCAGTCAAAAAGCGCTGACAGAAATATTTACTATTAGGGGGTTTGGAATTTAACATTCTCAGTTCAATTGTCGTCTCCTGACAAGGAGGATATGAGAGGAGAGGATTTCTGCTCTGCAGGACATTGTAACATTTGGAACCGGGTTTAATGTTATCTAGGAGCTGCGGTGGCTCAAGTGGTTAAGACGCTGAACTGCAGGCAATTCGAGACCCGAGTGTGCCGCATGACGGAGTGAGTTCTCGTCACTAGTTCCAGCTCCTGCCAACCTAGCAGTTCGAAAGCAAGAAATTGCAAGTAGATAAATAGGGACCACTTCAGTGGGAAGGTAACAGCGTTCCATGCGCCTTGGTGTTTAGTCATGCCGGCCACATGACCACAGAAACGTCTTCAGACAGCGCTGGCTCTTGGGCTTGGAAACAGAGATGAGCACCGCAACCCTAGAGTCGGATTCGACTGGCTTTCGAGCAAGGGAACCATTTACCTTAACTGGTTTAATGTTATCTACCGAGACAAACTGAGTTTCAGAACTACGATGCAAAGGTGTTAGTTCCCATAGTCTGCTGAATGGGACTGAGAAAATCGTTGCCGGTTCCCTGTATCGCGGTCAAGACAAGCAGTATCTGGCTGCCATTCCAGATCGTTATCTCTCACACGGAGGTCCAGCTGGAGATGTCTGTGGATAAGGTCTTTTACATTTTGTGATTTGTTTGTATTTGTTTCGAATATTGAGAGGATTTGATGTTCTACAGAATGTTCCATTTTAGTTTGTAGTTCTGCATCCTGTCTCTTTAGATCCAGATTTCTTAGTACCTGTGAGCACGCTAATACGGAAGCTCTCACCGCCAGCTTTCAGAGGAGTTCAAGTGAATACTTATCGTTTACACAGCACAGTTGTCTTGGAGTAATATCGAAGACACTGAGAGTGATATAATAATAATATTTTTAATCCTTATCCATTTGTTTACAGTTTTGACAGTTTGTTCTTGGCTTTTTTCCTTTCTTTACTCAGTCACAGTCTGAGCGTCCCATTTCGGTTTTCTAACTACCTGGAGGTTAGCAACTTTAGGAAAGAGCCATTTGCCAGTTCAGGAAGCTGGGTGGTCACACTGCCTTATTTAGGATAGCCTGCTTTCTCCAAGATTTTGCAAAGCAGTAGTCTTTCTACCAGTGTCTGAAAAGGCAAAAAGGAGCGGCTTTTGAAGTTTCCGCCCACAGAGAGCTCCACCCACAAAAAGGGCCCTTCTTCATGGAACTCATTCCCAAGCCCTTGAAACCCAGAGCAACCGAAGCAGGAGAATCCAAGGCCGTTCAAAATTAAGTCTCTTCCCTGGTGTTCTTTGTCCTAATTAACAAGATTTTCGCTCTGGATAAAGCCAATGCTTAGTGTAACCCTTAGTGTCATTTTCTAAAATATTGTTTTATTTCTCTTTAAAGGGGTAGGATTTAAATCCCAG